CTAATTTTGAGAAATATAAATGAACTGGATATTGTAACTGTAATTCTTACTTAATAACTTTTTGTTTTATATAATTTTACTATGTTAAAGTTAAAACCTTCTTTTAATTAGACAAAAAAAGGGGGAAATGCTGTGAAATATACTTTTGCACACTATGAAGATTTGTCACTCAGATTGGTTTAATAAAAAGCTGACTGGCCGGTAGGTAGACAGGAAGTATAGGTTGGACAGCTAGACAGAGGAAGCTGCAATGAAGGAGGGCAGAGTGAGAGTTGTCAGGAAGAGGAAACAGGAGGTACAAAATGAAAGAGAGGTAACACTATGTGGCAGAATGTAGATGGATAGAAATGGGTTAAATTGCCGGGCATTGGTGGCACATGCCTTTAATCCCACCACTCAGGAGGCAGAGGCAGGCGCATCTCTGTGAGTTCGAAGCCAGCCTGGTCACCAGAGCGAATGCCAGGATAGGCTCCAAAGCTACACAGAGAAACCCTGTCTCGAAAAACAAAAAACAAACAAACAAAAAAGAAATGGGTTAAATTAAGTTGTAAGAGCTGGTTAGTAATAAGCCTGAACTATCAGCTGGGCATTTATAATTAATATAAGACTCCGTGTCAGCTATTTGGGAACTGGCAGGAGGTCAAGATAGGAAAATTCTGCTTACTGGGTAATTCTGCTTTCATTTTCTACCGCAAAAACCATGTGTTGGTATACTGGCATGCCCAACTTAGTTAGCAGCAGCACCACCATCCTGATCTTTGTTGATATGACAGCTATGGCTTTATCACGTCTTTTTTTTTTTTTAAAAAAAAAAAAAAAAAAAAAAAAAAAAAAAAAAGCTACTCTAACCACACCACAACTAGAGCATGTTCTATATGCATGATTGTCATCTCAGATGCCTTTGAGGAGTTAGCTTCAACAGGTCCTGCAAGTATGCTGGGTCCTTCAAAAATCATCAGGCAAAGAGAGCCCCTTCTTTAGGTTTAAATAGAATCCCAACAATATCTTCCTGAGAAACAGTGCTTCTCATGTGCTTGCAGCATGTTCTGATCACTGCCTGTTTACGTCCTGTGCCAACGCAGCTGATATGTAATTAACATTATGTCTTGATAGCCTGCTGTTGTTTGCAGCAACTTCAAGTCATGATTCTGACACATCAACAACAAGCAGTTGAACACTTGATACAGGGCCAACACAACATAGATGTCTACTTCAGTTTCCAGTGATGTCACACAGTCAGTCCTTTCCTTAATCCCCAGGCTCTTTGGGCTACCACTCCACAGCTACCTCTTTAACTGTGGCAACACTGCTTTGTACCTTCTGGTGCTAATGATCCCTAGTGATTTTTAAGAGATTTGTTTATCTTCAGATGAACTGTGGCTGTGTGCATTAATTTAATCATAGCCATATGGAACAGGAAATATGAGCTTTGCCTCTACTGTCTAACAGAACAGGATTTGACTGATTCCGTCTCATAGTAGACAAGTACTGAGAGCATCACATAATGGCCCTATACACTTTGTCTTATCTGGACTGTGAGGGAAATAGTAACACCTCCTCTGGCAGGCTTATTCTGAAGAGCAAACAAGATCATGCAGTAAAAGTGCATTAGACAAATGTGTGCCACGGGGTAATCACTTAATAACAATCAGATTAAATACATAAAAGATGTGTTAATACCTAAGTGCCTCTGGAGAATTTGGATTCATCACAGAAATATACAATATCTGGTATATACAGCTATTTGAATAGATGTTAGAAAACTATACGAGATATAATTCCACTTAAATAAAAAAATTGTTTCAGATCAATGGTGAAGTATATCCCGAAGCTGATTACCTGATGAAAAATTGCTTCAAAGATACCCAATTCTTATTATAATATGAATTACAATATAGTAGCAGAAGTCATTTATATCAGTTATGCTTTCCTAAATCTAATAAATACTACAACATTAGGGAACCATAAAAATATTTCAGAAAGTTTAATTTTGGTAAGATTTCAATACATTCTTTGTAATTGTCCTTTTAGTTTATCTTGAATAAAAACTTACTTTTGTTTAGAAAATGCAGTCTCTCTATTTATTAAAATAGATTTATTACTGTAAACATGCCAGTGTTAGAAGATAAATAGGAAGCTAAACAAATACCCAACATTGACAGATAATTTGCTTTCTGATTTTTTGACTCTAATTTAGATTGACATTTTTGCTTCCGATTTTCATGTTTATATGAGTCTTTGAAAAGCCTTCTCACCTCAGTGGCTCCTCAAGTGCTCACTTGGAACAACGACTTTGCAGCTGGCCAAACCCGCTCTCAATCAATTTTTATGAGTACAAATTCTTGGGCTGATGGCCGGGTCTCCAACTATATCACTCACATAATCCACACTCACACGTGGTGATGAGATTCACATTATCACCAGAGCACCATTGTGCCGGTGGCAGCAGCAGACACAGCAGGGTATACTGTCCTCCCTATGAAAAACGACTCCTTCACCTTTCAATAATGCAGCCTGCAGGTATGGACTTACAAGCTGTGTGCAGATAGAATGAGAGATGTCTTTAAAAACACTAATAAAAACTAGCCGGGTCCTCCCAATGGGTCATCCTCATTGAATCTCCATACATATCCATCTTGATTTTGAAGTGACAGCATTCAATTTGTCTTCCCATTACATTTGGAATTGGAAGGAAGATTCAATTGTGTTTGAAACTTCAAAAAGTTGTCAGAGTAGTGGCATATATATTTCAGCATGTGATTCTCTCTGTGTATCTATCTATCTATCTATCTATCTATCTATCTATCTATCTATCATCTATCTATCTGATACCAAGTATAATACATTCTAACTAATTCAAGTTTGGTAGAATTTTTCTTAAATTTAAGTTAAGGGGCATATGGATTTAACAACTACTTTGATCCAACTTGGATTGTACCTTTAAAATAAAACATGGATTTTAATTATCTGAAAATGTTAGCTCCACATTTAATGTCTTTTAAAAACATACCACTTTTAATTTTGAAACATCCCAGTTCCTTCTTCTATTTCTAAATTTTCTAGTAAGTGACATTCAAAATAAATACATTTGTGTTAAAATTTTTGATTCATGTGACTATTTACTAGAAAATAAGATAGGTAGCAAATGCTGATCTTAAGCCTTCCCAGGATTCAAGGTCAGCATTTAACTTTTCAAAGTCTGTCTCTAGAAGCTTAATTTTCATCTTGAACCAATAAAAACATTGGAAACTTTTATACTACTGACATTTACCAGGTCCTCAAACTAACAAATGGTATCTCCCCATCCTTTAAAACACACTTTCATGATTTTTTTCACTCACATTTCCATCAGTGAAACTAAGAGCCAGCTTAGTTTGTTCAAAAGTAGATGATCCTCTAAATCATCTACTGAGATTATGGAATTATCTGAGATTCTATACAAATTCATGAAACGTAACTGAAAAAGAGGCTTTGTTTCCATGAAAAGTCAGTGGGGTGCTTTCAAAAGACTTGACAAAGACAAATCACAATGACAAACCCGTCCAGTTAGGTACCAATGAGACATCTGTAATAGGAATAAAATTAAAGTAGCCAGAAAGATTTATATTCAAATTCCTTCATAAGCATTTATATTTTTGTGCCACTGTAAAGGCACAGCTTGAAACTGCAGAAGATGTTTAATAGGGACAATTTGGAGGGATAGATCACTGAGAACTGTGAACAGAAAACCCTTACTCAAGACAATCACCTGTATTTTAGATCAAAAGATTGTGTGTGTGTGTGTGTGTGTGTGTGTGTGTGTGTGTGTGTGTGTGTGTGTGTATGTGTGTGTGTGCTCTCTGTATACATATGCACATATGCATAGTTTTATTATTACTCTAAGACACACAAGAAATGTTTACACTTTAGCCAAGAATAAAATAGACTGGTGTTCTGCCTTGTAGATACAACTACTTTTGGCTGAATTATAACACTTTTCATGAAGACACCATGCTACCACAGAACATCAATAAACTATTTTTTTCTCCAGCAACTGATGGATGACTATATCTCTAGAAAACAGCAAACGATAATTTTCCTCCATTGGCATTCCCTCGTATCACTCTGATCTAGCTCAGTTAAGCTTGCCTAATGTGTGGTAGGAATCAATGGGATTTTACAGGCTATTCTGTGTTAGGATTCCAAGAGTGATTCTCTTCTCATATATTTCCACTGAGAATGAAAGAGTTTGAATTTATCCTGGAATGAAATGACAATTTTGAAAGCTATGCTTCAATGCAAACTAGAAATTAATGACCTTGTTCTATGAACAAAGGTTGCTTATGATTTTAAAAGGTCAGATGACCACATGTACCAATAATCTACACTCAGAACCCAATCACTGACATAGTGGACAATTTGATTTAAATGCACATTTATATGAATACATAATAGACATATTCATGTAAAGTGAGAGAGAGAATGGACCACAGCTTATCTGCACACGACCTAGATGCTGCAGTGTTTTTCAAGGGATTGTCTTAGCATCCATTAGATCCTTTTAGGAAGCCTTGATGGCCAGTACAATTTCTATAATACTAAGTTTTTGGTTTTTTTTTTTTTTTGCCATTTCCACACTGACTTCACAGTGTCACTTCGAAATGACTAATGAAGTTTATATAGTGTAACTAGTTGAACACAGAGGCTGACCAAGGCAAACAGTTGTACTCTGACAACACACCAGACAATATATCAGTACACCAGACAATAAAGAAATGTTCAGAAGGACAGAATGTCTGTCATTTCATTATAAGTTGTTTAGATTGTTGTTTGATATAAAAGTGTTATTTATGTTGGCATACCATGAATTCACTACTTCTTTATTTTCAAATGAATTATTTAAAATAATTCTCAATTTTAATTTCTAATGCAGGAATTATTAGAAGGAGATATGACACCAGATAACAGTGTGAGACTCATGGTCAGAAAGCAATTACTTAACAAGAAAATAAATGACTGACCTGAACAAGAACAAAGTAACGCTTTTTCCATCTTTTCCAAACCTTCTGTCCAAGGGCATACAGATACCTGGTAAGAAAAACAAAAGAGTTCATAAATAATGGTGCAGTTCCCCAGAGCCATATCTTCCATAGGTATTTATGAGACCAGCCTGCTAAAGGCAAAGTTTAGTTTATCTGAAATCGTAGACAACATGTGGCTTCTGTGTTACAAGATGACTGTGCTGATTCACGATTCCTGAAAGGGAATTGATTTATGTGGCTTACAATTTGTCAGTCCTTACAACAAATTGAACGAAGTAGGAGTTAGAAAGGATAATCAAAGAAGCAGTTGGAATTTTATTTTCGCACATGTTTCTTAGGATATACAGAGGCTAGGAGTGAAGGAACTTGTACTGAATTCTTCAGTGCTCAGACAGCTGACTGGAACTGAGGAGTGTGGAGGTAGATACAGAGCCAGGAATCCAGGGTGAAAGGTCATTGTCCAGCTGGGTGACCTTGCAATATGCCTTCACCAATATCCAGTCCCATCTCTTTGCCTATTAGAGAACAACCCTGGGTGTCCTGATTTTCAAGTGCCTTGGCAGCTCTGTCATTTTGAGATTTATGTGGCTTATGGAAGCTTTCCACTGAACATTTTTTTTCCACTAGGAAACTCATTTAATAAAAAAAAAAAGGTGACATAATTTAGTTTAGCACCATTTCAGCTATGGCTTTTTAACTTTGCATGGTGGCTGTAATCTGAACTGAAATGATTAACCTGGCCGTGCATTTGAATAGAACCCCTTTGTTGTATGTGTTTGTGTGTGTACAGAAGTATATGTACATGCTCTTGTATGTGCGTGTTCATGTGGAGTCCAGAGGTTAACCTCAGGGGTTATCTCTTTTTATTTTTTGAGTCAAGCTTGTTGGCACAGAGCTTGCTAAGTAGGCTAGGTGAGCTGGTCAATGAGCTCAAGGGATCTCCCTGTCTTTGCCTTCTCAATCCTGGTATTAAAAACATGTGAAATTATGCATAGCTTCTTTACATACATTCTAGTCACTTCACCTACGGAGCTATTTCCCCAGCTGAGAATAGAAGGCCTGTTCTTACCCGTATAAAGGTTGCTCAAACGAGCTTACTCAATGTACTGTACTAAGTAATAAAGAACGTCCTATCTAAGAGTTTATTTGAGGGCTTAGAGGACTAACCTCTCACAATTCCATAGTGCAAGTTTTAGCTTCTGTTTTACAACCCACTTTTATAAAACAAAGTCAATATACCTTTTTTTTTTTATTCTTAAAAAGTACTATTATGGGATGCTTGTGAAGGTATAGTGGGTGTATGGATATTGTCTTCAATACCAGTGGAAGTATAACAGGAAACCTTTCACCCAAGAAATAGCATTTCAGGATGCAGAAATGCTTAACTTTACATTATGGAGTTACTCAGGTAATAGTTGTCCTGCTTAATGATGTATGTTTACAGGGATACATGGGCTAGTTCAATTTTTATTAATGAAAATTGATGATAAACGCTCAAGGGCTAGGGATATATTTACTAAATGCTAACATGGCATATTCATAGAAAGAAATGTTTTGCCACTGAAATTATTACTTTTGATTAGTAATAATAAGTTGATAAAATGCAAAAAATATTATATAATGTTATATGAAAGGGTCATGACTTAATATTATACCCATATTTAATGACTTGGAACTTCTAAGGACAAACATGAAATAAATGTTCTAAATATTAATAACCGTATTGCCTGAGGAATGGAATGATGGCAGACTTAAGTTTCCTTATTTCTATGTTTTCTACAATATCAGAATTAGGATATGGAACTAAATAGCCATTAACGTTCAAAACAATTTGGCTTTTGCATTGGAAGTATCACCCAAATGGCCCAATCAATTATTCTTTTGCTTTTAGACATATCAGCTAAGTGTGATGAGTTCCTCTCTGGCAATCATGATATACCTAAAGCCATTATCTGTTTCTGGATGCAATGTCGAATCATTTCGACACTGGTGGTGATATAGGCTATTCTTGTTCTCACCTGTTCACTGTTTCTTCCCAAGGTCCCCTAAACGCCCTTTCTTTTAGCCTCTAATTTCTCTTCCGTGGTCACGGTGATAGGTGTTCAGCTGCTCTCTTTCTGTCATTTCTATATAATTTCTCTCTCCTGAAATGCACACACCCAAGTTCCTATTACAGGGTTAACAACAGTGACCTACAGAGCTTGCTACTGTGGACACGATGGATGCTCTCTCTAAAAGGGCACTAGCAGGATGTGTACTTAATAGCAGCTCAGGAACCACAGAGGGCACTGGGAATAACCTCTGCCTGTGACCACAGCCGGCTTCCCGGCTCTCTCAAAGCGTCTCACTTTGCAGATGGGTCACACACAAGTGAATGTGAGCAGACAGACACACGAGCCATCATTACCACATGCAAATGAGTATGAGTGTTCTGACAGTGTGGGTTCTCTTCGAGGAGCACTAGCCAGCTGAACATCATTCAAAACGATGTGCCAGTGAATTTCGAATGACAACTTGTAGTTCCTCTGCAAACAGACAGTAAATGGGTGTGTGTGTGTGTGTGTGTGTGTGTGTACACATGCACACAGCATTTGGAGACTAGTGGATAATTTTATAATGAGGAAGAATGCAGGGAAGTTGGGTACTGGAAGCAAGATTATTTGGATGTTGGGTCTTGAAGTGTTAGAGCTATTGCACTATGAGAAGAAATTTGTTTGAAACACACATGTAAGTGACAAGTGTCCAGAAATGAACTGGTCATGAGAATTTTATGGGCTCTGAAAAAAATTGAAGTAACAGTCAATGAAAGGTTACCAAAAAGGAAGTGTTGTACACACTATGCAAAGACCATGCACTATTTTTTTCTTTGTAAAAAATTCAGCCAGGTGGTGGTGACGACACATGCCTTTAATCCCAGCACTTGGGAGGTGAAGGCAGGTGGATCTCTGAGTTTGAAGCCAGCTTGATGTACAGAGCAAGTTCCAAGATAGCCAGGACTACACAGAAAATCTGTCTCAAAAAACAAACAAAAATTCATATTAGTCAAATAAAATTTTAATATAAAAATAAAAATGAGTGAAATGTGTCAGAAATTATATACATACTGACTAAAAGAATATGTTAAAGTTTATATAAGCCTTGTTTGCACCATTGGGATTTGAGTCCCAAGGCTTAGTTGCCTCACTCTATAAGAACAGATTCTCTTCATAAGGAATGTATTTAAAAATAATGAATGCATGAAGATAGTTTACCAAAATTGTTTTAAAATAAAAACTTTAAACTCGCATAGTAAGAAATGATTAGGCTGCCATTAAGAGAGATACTAAAAATAATAATTAAAAATGATCATCTTGTGAACTTTACTACACTCAATCTGTTCCTTGTGCCCATCATGGTCAGTGATTCCCTTATACCCTCAGCTCTGTGCATGATTCTATTTCTGACCTACTGTTCATCCTGTTTGCTACAACATCATTGGCATTATATAGCATATAGCATTGTGTGTCTGAGTTCCTTCCTTTAGAACAATACTTCTTGGATTCATCTTTATTACAAGTACTAGGAATCTGTTCCCATTTATTGCTAAGCTGCATATTCCACCATAAGAATATATTCACAATTTGGCACTGTGTGAGTTGTTTCCACACCTTGGTTTATAAAAAAGAAAGATGCCAAGAACATTTGCATTTACATTTTATGTTTAGTGTTTTCATTTCTTTGTTTCTCTTTTTCTAGTGTCCAGAAACTAGGTTGCCATATCATATTGAAAGTGTGTGTTTAGCAGAGTGAGAACTTGCCAGACTGTTTTCCCAAAGTGACTGTGGTATGTTGCAATACCACTGGAAGTTGAGTGAGAATGCATCTTGTTTTGTAATGATAAAAATAACTGTTAAAAAGTACTCACTCAGCCGGGCGTTGGTGGCACATGCCTTTAATCCCAGCAATTGGGAGGCAGAGGCAGGTGGATCTCTGTGAGTTCGAGACCAGCCTGGTCTACAAGAGCTAGTTCCAGGAGCTAGCATCCAAAGCCACAGAGAAACCCTGTCTTGAAAAACCAAAAAAAAAAAAAAAAAAAAAGTACTCACTCATATATGGATTTTAGACATAGAGCAAAGGATTACCAGCCTACAATCCAAACTGCCATAGAAGCTAGGAAACAAGGAGGACCCTAAGAGAAGGGCATGGTCCCCCAGAGAAGAGCAAAGGGACAAGATCGTCTGAGCAAATTGGGAGCATGGGGGGAGGAGAGGGAGTTAGGAGAAAGACAAGGGGAGAAGAAGAGGGGAGAGGAGGACAAGAGAGAGCAGGAAGATTGAGTCAGAGAAAGAATAGAGAGCAAGATAAGAGATACCTTAATAGAGGAAGCCATTATAGGTTTAAAAAAAATCTGGCACTAGGGAAATGTCCAGAGATCCTCAAGGATGACACCAACTAACAATCTAAGCAATAGTGGAGAGGTTACCTTAAATGCCCTTCTCCCATAATGAGATTGATGACTACCTTATATGCCATTCTAGAGCCTTCATCGAGTACCTGATGGAAGTAGAAGCAGACACCCACAGCTAAACACTGAGATGAACTCTGGAATCCAGTTGGGGAGAGGGAGGAGTGATGAGCAAAGGGGTCAAGACTAGGCTGGAGAAACCCACAGAAACAGCTGACCTGAACAAGGGGGAGCTCATGGACCCCAGACTGATAGCTGGAAAACCAGCATATCCAGACCCCCTGAAGGAGGATGTCAGTTTGGAGGTTTGGTTAATCTATGGATCCTCTGGTAGTAGATCAGTATTTATCCCCAGTATAGGAATGGACTTTGCGAACCCACTCCACATAGAGGGATACTCTCTCAGCCTAGACACATGGGGGAGGGCCTAGGCCCTGCTCCAAATGATATGACAGACTTTGAAGATCCTCCATGGAAGGTCTCACCCTCCCTGTGGAGCAGAAAGGGGATGGGACAGGATGTTGGTGGGGGGGCAGGGGAGGAGGGGAGGGAGAGGGAACTGGGATTGACATGTAAAACAAGCTTGTTTCTAATTTAAATTT